GAGTAAGCTCTGGGAGTTGGTGATGGACAGGGAAACCTGGCATGCTGCAGTCCATGGGGTCACAAAGAATCAGACATGACTGAGCGACTGAACTGAACTGAACTGAACTGAGATACACTGCTATCCATATTGCCCACCCCTTCCAGGTGGTGATGACTAAATGGGTCTCTGGACCAGCAAAATGTGTAAGGAGGACATTTAAAGGGGCTTCTCTGGTGGTCCACTTGTTAAGAATCTGCCTGGCAGTGCAGGGATGTGGGTTCAGTCCCTGGTTGGGGAACTATGATCCCACATGCCTTGGAGAAGCTAGAGAGATTCTGCGTGCCACAGTTAAGACCCGAAGCAATCAAATGTTTTTAGAAAGAGAGAGAGAGGACCAGTAAAGAGGAGCATCAGTCTCAAAAGGACCTTGAGAGAGGAGTTCCTGGGGCGGGGCAAGTCCCCGAGCTGTGTGACTCTGACTGGTGGGCGTGCAGGCCCGGGGACACGGATCCCGTGCTTCCCAGCATCCTTCCTCCAAACCAGCCAGGACAACTGGCCTTCCATTCAGCAGGCAGTTCTTGGGGATCTACTGTGTGCTGGACCCTCTGCAGGACAGCGGGAACACGAAAGCAGTCAGGCCTCGACCCCCTCCTGGCACCACATCTGGGGGAAGACTCGGAGATAAACCCTCGTGGTCACCACCCCAGTAGAGGGTCTCCCCTCGGGCCTGCGAGCCTCTCCAGCTGTTAAGTTCCTGCAACATCCCCAGCTGCCAGCACCGGGCTGGCACCTTCGAGCATGACATAGATCTGCTGGCTGGATAAACACGCAGTCAAGTGCAGTGAGAGCCCAATGAAGCGAGTGCCCTCAGCATGTTTGCACAGGAGAGGCTTGAAGTGGACCGTCTAGGATGAGGCACATCCAGAGCTCAGGACGGCCCGAGCAGGGAAGAGATGCTGGGAGCCTGAACAGCAGGGCCTGTTCCAGGGCCCAAGGAGGCCACAGCCCCAGACTTGGGTGAGATTGTGCAGCAGGAAGAGAAGGACCAGCCCGCACAGACGACATTGGTGCGTCAGCAGAGGCTGGGGTGGGGGTGGGGGGGTCTCCATCACCAGATGTGCACTTAGGAAGCAGGCTCTGAAGGCTGGGAGGACAGCAGACCAGGAGTGGCTGACTCACAGCTCATCAAACAGTCCAGCAGGACCCCTTGCTCACTGCTCTTCACGCGTCATCTCTGTTGTTTGTGGGTCCTTCATTGCCTCTGGTGTGGTATTTTGCATATATTAATTAGGGAATCATTTATAAAGGTAAATCATTCAGCTTCCCAGGTGACACTAGTGAAGAACCCGCCTGCCAATGCATCTGACGTGAGAAATGCAGGTTCCATCCCTGGATCGGGAAAATCCCCTGGAGAAGGGAATGGCAACCCACTCCAGTGTTCTTGCCTGGAGAATCCCATGGACAGAGGAGCCTGGTGGGCTACATCCATGGGGTCGCAGAGAGTCAGACACGACTGAAGAGACAGCACACTCACTATTAAAACTAGGCTTTTTTTAGGAGCCATTCTAGTGTGAATGTTTGTCATCCCTGCTTCTTAAAATATTTTTCTTGGCAAAGCAGTTTTTAAACTTTTCTGGTTAAAGTAACACAAGTGTTATTGATTGGGTTATTGTTACTTTTAAACCTCTATCAACCCAGAGGGATGGGATGGGGAGGGAGGTGGGAGGGGGTGTTCGGGATGGGGAACACATGTACACCCATGGAGGATTCAAGTCAGTGTATGGCAAAACCAATACAATATTGTAAAGTAAAATAAATAAACAAATAAATTAAAAAAAAAAAGACCTCTATCTGACTCTGGTTTTCCTAGTTTTTCTAGTTTTCCATGTTTGCAAAAGCTAAAGAGATACAGTAGATTTCACAGCTGACATAAGGCTAGTGAGGCCAAGCCATAATTAATTCAGACCTCAGTGGCATTCCGTTGGCACTGGAAGAGCTCTGACCTTATCTTTGATTATGTTCAAAGCCGGTTATTTTTACCCTGATGCTCCAGGAACTACACTTTGTTTTCTCATCACAGAATCAGTTGGGATGCCACCCTCTTCCCAGTATCCACTCTTTGGAAGCTGGTGCTTCTCTGGTGCCTGCTGAACTCATTGTCATTTCATGGGGCAGCCACCTGGGGTGCCAGGCAGGTGGGGGATATGCCAAGAGAGGGTGTCCTGCCTGGCAAGGCTACCCAGAGTCCTTGGTTTATGATAACAGTCCCGCTGTTTCATTATTCCAAGTAGGATGACTGTCCTCAGTGAAGAGGTAAAGTAGAAGGGCTGTTCCTCACTCTCTCCCTGTCCCTGCTTCGTGCCGTTTACCCATTCACTGTAAGATTAAAAAAAATTTTTTTTAAAGAATTGTCTAAGATTCGAAGAGATCAAGGAGAGCAAGCCAGTCAATCCTAAAGGATTGACTATTCATTGGAAGGATTGACGCTGAAGCTGCAATAATTTGGCCGCCTGATTTGAAGAACTGACTCATTTGAAAAGACCCTGATGCTGGGAAAGATTGAAGGCAGGAGGAGAAGGGGACGACAGAGGATGAGATGGTTGGATGGCATCACCGACTCGATAGACATGAGTTTGAGTAAGCGCTGGGAGTTGGTGATGGACAGGGAGGCCTGGCATGCTGCAGTCCAAGGAGTCGAAAAGAGTCGGACACGACTGAGAGACTGAACTGAACTGAAGATGGAAAGGGCACGATAAGGTCTTAGACAGTTAGGAGAGGGGGGTAAAAAAAAGATTGCAGTAAATGTGGCACCTCCTGAAACCATGACTTGTGAATTCTGTGAGTGAGAGCAGCCTGGAGGCCCTGAGGGTGCCACTCTGCAGAGACCATTGGCTGTTCCAGGTCACCAGGTTCTCTGTGTGAAAATGCTTGGGGGGCTGACTGTGCTGTGTGAAGCGGCCCCCTCCTGCCCACAAAGTTTTTCTAGGTTTCTGTGTTCTGTAAGTGTAGCCTTCTACCATGTACATGAGTGTGCTGCTGCTGCTGCTAAGTCGCTTCAGTCGTGTCCGACTCTGTGCGACCCCATAGACGGCAGCCCACCAGGCTCCCCCATCCCTGGGATTCTCCAGGCAAGAACACTGGAGTGGGTTGCCATTTCCTTCTCCATACATGAGTGTATAGGGGTACAAAACAAAGAGGCACGTGAGGTTAAGAGGCGCATGTGATGTGTGGATGGGCAGTGTTTACAGGCATCCAGGGGCTAGGTTCTCAAACTTGAAGGTGTGTGACGCCCTCCCCCTGGTGGGGAGGGGGCCCGGGGACCTCAGTAGCTATGGGCAGCACTGAGAGAGAGTTCACTTCTCTGACAAGCTCTCAGACAGTGGGGATACTGCGTGGACTGCAGTGACCAGGCCCTGCAATGATGGGTCTCAGCTTCGGCTGCGAATTTCCACACACGAGGAGCTCTTGAAACTTCTGATGGCAGGTTGCACCCCTCCAAGGACATGAGAATATATATATATATCTCTGAGGGCGGGTCGGTAGCATCAGTAGTTTTGAAAGCTCTCCGTGCAATTCCTGCCCAGGTTGAGTTTGTGGGGTGGGGGTTGGGGGAGAGCTGAGTGGATCATGGGACTCCTTCCTATCACTTTGGGAAATTTACCGAAAGTATGTTGCAGCTGTCACTGTCTGACTGTGTCTGACTTAAAGGAACAGCTAGCTTTAGTGTTTCCATCTCTGTTTTCAAAGAACACCGTGAAGTCTCCCAAGATTCCCTCCACCACCAGGCTCTGCTCCACCTGTTTATCAGCCGCAGAGTCTCAGCTGAAGCCCTCATGGATATTCTCACTCTTCTCCATTGACCCGTGGCCTCCTGTTTCCACTGCTAGCTGCCCTCAATTCTTTATGGCTGTGAGGGGTCTAGATGAGAAGACTGTTTCATCTTCCTGCGGAGCAGGGGTTCTCAACCCTACAGCACATTACAGTCACCAGGGGCAATTCTGATTTATTGGATCTGGGGCAGGTCCCTGTGCTAGGGGAGTCTGAGAAGCTCCCTGGGTGATTCTCATGTGAACTCGGGGAGGAGAGCCAGGTTATAAGATTAAAATAAACTTCAAAAAAATAGTATTTTCTTCAACATTTTGAAAACTGGTTTAAAAAAAATTAAAGATGCTGGTCAGACATTAGACTATAGAAATTATTATATTTTAATGTACACTTAGTGATTTAGTTGGGACTTCCCAGTTGGCACTCAGTAGTAAAGAACTTGCCTGCCAATGCAGGAGATGCATGAGATGTGAGTTCAGTCCCTGAGTCGGGAAGGTCCCTGGGAGGAGGGCATGGCAACCCACTCCCATATTCTTGCCTGGAGAATCCCATGGACAGAGGAGCCTCGCGGGCTATGGTCCATGGGGTCGCAAAGAATTCGAGACTTAGGGACTGAAAGTGTGTTAGTCACTCAGTCGTGTCTGACTCCTTGTGATCCCATGGACTGTAGCCCACCAGGCACCTCTGTCCATGGGATTCTCCAGGCAAGAATACAGGAGTGGGTTGCCATTTCCTTCTCCAGGGAAGGGACTGAACACCATTAATTAGGACAATGCTAACTGGGGAAGGATTTTGGTGCACAAGTAACAGTATGGCCCAGTGAGGCAGTCACAGGGGCGGCCCTCTAGTGCATAGTCATTCTGGGCCCCGCCATTTGTGTCTCCAAGGTGACCTGGGATGGGGCGCAGGAAGAGTGGGTGTGGCTCAGGGCAGGCGCCCATGGGCTGGGCAGGGCCACGTGTGTGGCACCCCCGTGGTCTCTCCCACGTGCCTGGATTCCTACTTGCACTCCCAAGCTCCGAAGGAGCTGAAAGGCCAGCGCTCTGTGTCCTACCACATTTGTGTGTCCGGGGTCAGGTGCCTGTGGGCCTTGCACTTGGAAATGCAGACTCCAGGCCGCCTGGGGGCAGGATCCTGCAGAGTTCACGTGCTGTGTTAAGCGCCTGTGCTCTTTTTTTTTCTTTTCTCCACAGATATCGCAAACGGCACCAGTTCAGGGGGGTACCGCCCACCTCCCAGAACCAAAGAAGTCATCATCAATGGCCAGACTGTAAAACTTAAATATTGTTTCACCTGCAAGATTTTCCGGCCCCCTCGTGCCTCTCACTGTAGCCTTTGCGATAACTGCGTAGGTGAGTCAAAGCCAAAATTGCCTCTGTTCCACCTTTAAGGCTTGTGCTAAAATGTCTGCAGCTGATGGAGTAGCCTGATTTCCTTTGACCAGACCTTGTGCTTAAAGAGAGCCAGCGTGCATGTCTCTTTAATCCTTCAAAACTAAGCAACTGGGTAATAGTTATTTCAGTCCTGTTGCCTCTGATCTGATCAACAGTCTGCCGCTGATCCCCTTCACCAAGCCTAGCGTCGCTGGATCTCTTTTTTTTCTTTTTACATCCTGCAACACATCCCTAGGACAGCACAGTGCCCCGGGTCTTCTCCTTCCAGGAATACTCACCAGAGTGGAGGTTCTTGTTCCTTGGAGGTTCCAGATCAGCAGACACTTGCAATAAAACCATGACGCTTGTAGACCCTCCATTGCCGGAGGAGCTGGCCACGTGTGTAGCTGGATTCTCCCAGCTCTTCAGAAGGCATTCTGCTTGGGGAGCTGGAGGCCATGGAAGCCCAAGGAGAGGAAAAGGGGCAAAGGCCCAGAAACTGCTGGGCCCACAGTTAGGTTGTTACCCTTCCCAGAGACCAAGATCTGCCCTCGCTGTCAGCTTGCTTCCTCCAGGACAGGCTAGGAAACAGGCAGAGGAATCACAGTGGAGCGCAGGGGGCCTCAGCTGTAAGGCTTAGCCTCGCTGTTCGGTTGCCAGCACCGCAGCGCAGGATTTCTGCCTCTATATGGGTCCCAGCCCCTGGGAATTACTTGGCAAGCTCATCCCATCACACCGAGAGATGTTACCCACACTTGTAGACCATTACTCTGCCCCGGGATGGAGTGTCTCAGAGATGAGGTTGGCAAGGAGACAGTGGAAGCCCCAAGTGACAGGAAGGGTAATGAGAAAGGGACCACGGCTTTGCCACATGGGGGAAGACCCACATTTCTTCAGTCCCATAGTCCGCCTCTAACAGAAATAAGCAGGGACTTTCCTGGGAAACAGGCATGGAAATCCTGTTAACCTCACACCTGAAAAGACAGAACATCTCAGAACAAACCTTGTTCCCCTTACTAACACATAATCGATTGCTAACATTTTCCAAGCCTATTAGAATTTGTGGTCTTGATTCTTCTTCAGGAAAAAAAAATTATATAATGTGTTTCCTGCTGTGCAAAGCTGTTTTGTTTATTGGTCTGAAATTTACTTTCAGATAACTTTAATGATAATCTACAGTTTGGTAGGAAGTCTGTGTTTTCCCTCTCAGACCTTTTCTTGGTTTTATTAACTTGGAAAAATTACTGTTAGCCTTTGCCTCCCCAGCAAAACACCATGGAATTTTGTTGTCTTTCTCATGTATAAGAACCAGTTAAGAGCCTGAAATCTGGCACCCGATGACCTGGGTACAAATACTAGCTTCATGATTTAGACGTGCTACCCCAACTCTGTATTCCTTGGTTTCCTTATCTCTGCAATGACGTCAGTAGCAGTGCCTGCCTCATGGGACAGTTGAGAGAGCAAATGAGTTAAAGTGTGCAAAGCACTCAGCCTGGTGCCTGGCTTTTGGCAAATTCTCTGTGGTTGTTAGCTGTTGCTCTCTTATTACTACTGCTCTCTTCACACTTCTGATCAGCTTCCTCTGGCCAATGTCTTGGTCTGCTGTAGCCCTCTGAAGGTTTGATGACCAAACCTGCCCCTGGTCCTCTATGTGAGGACACATACCAGGGTTTCTACAAGGTCACAAGACGCCTTTGTGTGGTTCTGATACCCTTCCAGGTGACCCCAACCCCGGTGACCATCCCATGCCCATCTTGAGGGCACTCAAGCCAAGCAGCCCAGTAGCTTAAATATCTTCAGGGAAACAATCCATAGTCATTCACGGGATCCTTTCTTGGGTTGTAATTTGGGGATTACATGATGGAATATTATATGATGGGATAATATGTAACTTATACTCTTTCACCTAAAAATCTTCTATTATTTTGCATATCTTCTCCTGGAAGTCTAATGACTTGTTCCCATTGACATTTACAGGGAGGGAGTGGTTACCTACAGACCTGAAGAGTTTATGGGGCATCTCTCTCTCTCTCTTTTTTTTTTTTATCATTTATAAACGTGTTTACCCATTGCTGGATAACTGTTTCTATTTGTTTGTTTGTATTCCATCTGTGGAATAGATTCCTGATCATGATAAAATGTTCCTTTCTGTCTCATATGTTTAAAATTCTCTTCAATTATATCGTAAAACACTTTCTGAAAGTTCATCAAATTCTCTTGTTTCTTCCCTCCACCATTGGTTAAAGAACCCTAATGTATTAGACGTAAAATCCTCTTACCAGAATTATTCATCTAGTTAATGGTATACTTCTGTGGTAGTTTTAATTGCTAAGTCATATCCGACTCTTGAAACCACAGGGACAGTAGCCTGCCAGGCTCCTCTGTCCATGGGATTTTCCAGGCAAGAATACTGGAGTGGGTTGCCACTTCCTTCTCCAGGGGATCTTCCCAATCCAGGAATTGAGCCCAGGTCTCCTGCATTGCAGGCAGATTCTTTACCAGCTGAGCTAGTAGAAACTCCTGGTGAGACAGTAAGAGCACCGGTCTGTAGTGCCCAGGAGCCCTTCTGATAGGTTCTGAGCAACCTTTCTGGTAACTGCGAGTCACCATGGCAACCCAGAACTCCACAAGCAAGCCTGATGCCGTCCTGGAATGGGAGGATGCAGAGCCACAAAGGGAAAGGAGAGGAAGGGGGAAGGTTTGGGGTGGGCTTAGAGGAGGGAACTAGACAAGGAGCACACTGCCAGTAGCTGCCTGTAAGCTTCACTTGACGGTCCTTGGGCTGGAAGTGGGAAAAGTGTAATCAGGGCCCCGCTCTGTGGAGGACAGGTGAGAGGAGTAGCACTCAGCTGACGGAAAGTAAACGTGCTTGCTGCACTCGGGGGACAACCACACAGTGACTCAGACCGACATCATTTCGGCTTTCGAGTTCATTACACTACGTTTGGGCCTTTGGTGTGACCCATTAGCTGACCAACAAATTGGACCTTGTCCTTTTGGGAAAATAGAGTGGAAAGCAGTTGTCGCCAATGGAGACGTATAATTGCAGAGTTTGCCACCACTTTATTTTTAGACGGTAAGTTTTTAATTGAAAGAATTCAACTTTTTGCGGCCAGGGGAAAAAAGTACAATGATGTGCTGAAAGCCAGCGTTCGAACATGTGGCTTCCCTTCCATGGTAATAAATGGGCCCAGGTTGGTCCTTCCTAAGCATGCAAATCAATGTTACTTTGCACTGGGAGAGGAGAGAGGAAAATGGAGCTTCCCGAAGTGTATTTTTCTTTGTTAAGTAAGTTTGGGATGAGAGCAAAGTCGTAGGGGCTCTGTAGTTGTAGTCGAGGGCTGAGGGAAAAGCTTTTTGGGGAGCACACTCTGTTGCTAACAGAACATGTTATCAGAGCCAGGGGGTTGGGACACAGCTCTAAGGACAGATGCCCAGGACTGGGTCCTGGTCCTGCCCTTGGATAATATTGGAACCTGGGCAGGTTACCCTCAACTGTTTCCACATCTGTAAGATGGGATGATCCCAGCACTGCCTTGTAGGTTTCTTCTAAGGATGAAGCGAGACAGTGCCCAGCACGCATGGACCTGGTGCACACCGAGGTCTCACAAGCCAGTGAAGTGTTGTTACCGTGCGTGGTGGGAGCAGGCTGCTGCAGTGCTCCCAGGTAACTGTAGAATGAGATTGTCATCACGAGCCACGGGAGCCCCCTTGTTTGCCTGTGTTCTGGGAGGCTTTCCATGATCTGCAGCTGCAGGAATGAATACATTCTCTCTCCCTCTCTCTGACTTTGTCTCTTTTCATCTCTGTTTCTCTCCTCTTGTCTCTTTGTGTTGCCATCAAATTGCTTCTGCACATTTGAATCAGAGTGTTTGGGGTTGTTTGTTCATCCAGGCAATTTTTGATGTTATTAAACATTTTTATACAACTGCCAACTGGGGCTGAGGGGGCATCTCTGTTCGCTCAGACCCCTAGGAGCCCTCAGGTCATTTAAAGGAGAATAACAGAAGGAGCTGGAAAGCAAAAGCTGCCCTGGGGAGGTCTTCTCAGGCTCACTCTGTACGTTCCAGCCACAAGTAAGCCCCCTCCACCTCCCCCTACCCTTGAGCAGGGTGGACCCTTTCAGGGAAGTCTGTCCTTTGGTGGACTCTGGGCCAGTGTTGGAATAGCCAGCAGCTTCCCCTGGAATTTAGTATTTTTTTTTTTAACACAACCTAAACCTGTAATAAAAAAGGACTTACTTGAAAGTAATTTATTCACACACTGTGAACTAAATTAGGTTTGCCAAACACCGGAGAAGGAGCATTGCAAGCCTTTGCAAGCCTGCTCTGCGAGAGCCTGTCTGATTTTGACCATCTCAGCATGAAAGCAACAGAACCTGGGTCCCCAACCTTCCACCTTGTCCAGGCAGAAGGGAGCCCGTCTTTCTCCGAGACGCCACATCTGGAGGTGCTGTGAGGCCGGAGGAGGTGATGCGTGAAGCCCTCGCATTGTGTCAGCTCTGCAGGCCTCTTCCCTCACACAGCAGATGCCCTGGTCCCTTTTTCTCCCATCCCCTTCTGTCCCTTCTGGTGTGGATGGCACAGTGAGCCTCCAGACACCCTCTGCTGGGACTCAGTGCCCAGTAATTTTTGTTTTGGAAGAGTTTAATTGTTCTTTTTTTTTTTGGAAGGTGTTTTTTTGGTGTGGACCATTTTAAAAGTCTTTATTGAGTTTGTTGACAGTATTTCTTCTGTTTTTTTGTTTTGACCTTTTGACCAAGAGGCAGATGGAATCCCATCTTCCAGACCAGATATGGAACCCGCACCTCCCCGCACTGGAAGGCAGTCTTAACCAGTGGACCACCAGGGAAGCCTCTTAATGGGCGTCTTTAAATGCTCGCTCGCTCTCCCGTGGGCTCTTTACTGTGCTCTCCCTTCTGCCCCAGTGTCCCCTCCTGTCCGTCCAGGTGCTTCCTCTGTGATGCGGGTCTCTGAGCC